GGCTCCTCCATGTAAATCAAGTGGAAATGATTTCCCTTCAAACAAAACGAAGTATTTATGTAACAAGACTTGCTGCAGTTTATGGCAAAACCACTTAAAGATGTCTAAAAATAATGTCCCAAAAACTAGGGGTGCACTGATCTTTAAAAAGTCTGACCTGTTGACTGTCAAATGTTATATGGTGACAAAACACCGTCAATGTTCCAGTCTTATTGTATTGAAAAAAACATTGAACAATTCTCTTGAAACAATACAAACTTGTTTTAACTGAACATTGCTCACATCAGAGCAAAAGGAGACAGTAGCTAGATGAGAAGCCGATATTTTCCACCGATTTTATCTATCGACCTCTCTCCCAAATTTAAGGATATTGGTACTGAAAAATTGGCCAGCCGGTTTATTGATGCACCTCTACCAAAAACATAAACTTTGCTTTAGTTTATGGAGATCCCATGAAAATAATCTAAAAAAATGTTTCTTGTCTTGGAAAATTCCAACAACACAATGGAAAAAAAAAAATCAAGGGACTGGCAAAGAAAGTTAGAAAACCTTTTTTTTTAAATCTAAGTCTCCAACTGAACTATATCATCTGCCTGTAAAGCTTCATAAATGTCGTTTGTATTGTCCTCGTCAACCCCCTGCACTGTTATACAGATCACTATATTTAGTTTTGGGATGTCTGGGGGCYGTCTTTTTCAAGGTTAGTACATTTTAAAATCAACTTTACATTTTTTGTTATTTACTCTTATTTATTTTTAATCTGTGATTTTTGTGTTGTATGTCTGGTTCTGTTGACATCATCTGCTGCACTGATTCAGTTAGAATTGTCCCTCAGGAAAAACAAAACAAAACTTTATTTGCTGTTGGTTTCTTGTCACAAAAAGAAAAAAAAATGTATAGGTCTTCTGGACGGGTTCTTCTYTAATSAAACGTTTYGTCTCTCCTCCAAGAGACTTCTTCAGTCTGAGAGTTTCAGGCAAAATTCAGGCTTTTAAGCCCYGCCTCCATGTGACTGATACTCACATCACATGGCTATCGTTGACACCTAATTAACACCTATTGTTAACAGGGGTGGAGTGATACTGGCAATAGTAGCACTGTAGGAGGGGGACAACTGAAAACGGAGGCCTCCACCTCTGTTTAATGATGGACGGTCTTTCTTCACAAAAATGGCTTCTTTTACTCCTCTCTCAAACTCCTCTTGTCACATCTTGTGCTTGAGTTGAGTCAGTTTTTTTTGACTTCCTGTTCTTGTCAGACAGTTTTGGTTTCAAAACAAGGTGATTTTGTTTTATCTGCCTCTGGATTTCAGCTTGTATTTGGGATCTCCTTTATCAAAAACTGTGATTTTTTTTAAACTCTGATCCATCTTTCCGTTTTCTTTTTTACTCCGTTTCTTTTCAAGTTGCGAGGGAGCTGGTCCAACAGTCGTACACTCTGGACAGGTTGCAGGTTCATTAGAGACAAGCAACCATTCACCTTCCCACCCACATCTGATTAATCTAATGCAGTGTTTCCCAAAGTTGGGGTCGGGACCCAAAGTGGGGTCCCGAAACATCAAGGTGGGGTCCTGAAAAGATTTTCTGAATTAATTACATTTTTGCCTTAGTTGTTAACAAATTACTGAGGTTATTATATTGAAAATGGATAAATGTAGTATAATAAACATTGTTACTATGCCCATGTTTTGTTGACCTGATACAAATGTTTATCATCCACAAATAGTTGGTGGCACAGGTCTCTGCTACTGTTATTTTGTGGGTCAAAAGCTGAAAAGTTTGGGAACCACTGCACTTTGATTCAAAAAGTTGGGCTTGGGACCCAATTATGGGTCATGAAGCACCTTGGATAATCTCCAGAAATCAATTTAAAGGGTAATAAAATAATTGCTGGTGTAATATTTTCCCTATAATTATTACAAAAACACAAAATAAGTAAAAATAAGTATTTATAGTTGTGTGCAAGCTGTTTAGACTGTCAAAAAGCCTGTGATTTTAGGGTTGTTAACAAAGTTTGTGTACTCAGACCAGTAATATTTGGGGTCACAAGTTTTTGCCATGGATATTTTGTGGGTCAGAAGATAAAAAGTTTGGGAACCACTGGTCTAACGTACTTTATGTAAAGCTCTGCCACACTAGAACCTTTTAAACAATATATGAAAAGTTTGTCGAACACAAACGATGTCTAAGCTGAAGATGGAATAAAAAAAATCCACTGGAAGCCTCTTTTGGGCGTATACATACTGTAATCTAACAATTACATAGAATGTATGGCCGATATGAATAATATGGTCATAACAAAATTTCCACAAGTCAGCATAAGTTGTCTAAAACATCATAGTGTGACAGGGCCGTTAGAAAGATCCCAGGCTGRATGCAAACCTGCAACCTTCTTACTGAGACGACAGATCTAACCACTTCATCTGTGCCCTCCCCCTCAGGTTTCCCCCCACAAGAATAAATAATGTAATCAAAGACAAGTTGATGCAACACAAAGGTAACATACACGCCATATAAAATTGTGAGGGAGCCATGCTGGCATCAAATTTGTTTAAATAGCCTTTATATAACAGAGCTGGCCAAAAACAATGAAAATAAAACATTTCAGTTTTTTTCAAGCTTCCTAACACATCACTGAATATTAGATTAATATTAGGTTTTTAGTGTTTGCCAATGTTTTTGCAGATTTATTTTTTAGCAGTAATGAAACCTTTTTAGCTAGAGTTATTATTATTTTTTTTACATTTTTGTTAGAATAAAAACTGTAAACAAGTGTTTTGATGAGGGCATTTGAAACTTTAGAACAAAATAGCAGAGCAGAGGTGCTGCGTCGTAACAACAACTTCCTCAATTTAATTGCCTTTTTTTTAACTTTCCCTAAAAGTTGTTCAAGACAAACACTTTGACACACACAATAAATAAATAAATAAATAATAATAAAAAAAACTTTTGTTTCCTTGTCTGTGTATGTGAAATACAGCAATTAAAAAAATGCTACCTCACCTTACTGGTTGGCTGCTTTTTGTTGGACAGTTCAAACTAATAGCCTTATTTTCCCTCTGCAAACATGAGAATGGCCTCCTTCTCTTAATGAGGGCCAGAATGCACAGATTAGATGACCTGTGTCCCTCCGCGCTCATTATAAAAGCACGGAGTCGTGCAGAGGCGGGGATGGCTGATGCTCACCTGGCAATTATGACGGCCTGGTGACTGATGGGGAAAGAGTTTTCTGTCGGTTCCCCTCAACAGAGCTGCATCGCAGCCTCGCAGACACAATGCTCCGAGGCATCCCCGACTTCTCGCTGCGCTGCCATGCAGCCATTCATTTGGAAACAGTTATGTCAGGGCCTCAGCGCCGCTTTTAGAAGCTACCATTACAGAGGGGCTCTGTGATTTTTAGACTATAGGCATGGAATATCATGTGATGAAGCGCAGTGGAGGACAGGGAGGTAGATTCTGCCTAGAACCAGACTGACTTAACGCCATATTGATCCTCAGTCACTGGATCCAGAAATATCTTTAAAATTGGAACCAGCACTGATTTAAAAATGAGACATGATCTGTCTACACGGTATGCAAATAATATAAATAATGTGACTGAGCATCTGGTTTGATGCGAGAGGCCATTTAATATGTTGTTTTGGTTCTACTGAAATAAAAAATGACTACAACTTGTCACTGTGCTGATAAAATATGATATTCCTGTGGACATTAGTAGCTGCAGCCATCAGGGGGTGTCTGCTGAAGTGATATTCAAGCTGTCTTGAATTTTGTAAAATGAAATGGAAAAAATAAAATAAAATAGGAGTTGCATTTTGCTTGCTTTCTTTCATACCCGAATTTTAAACTGAGATTTTTTATGTTGAGAAATGACACATTTTGGTTTTGCAATATCTAACATCTCTTAGCACTCTGAATATTTGTTGTGATTGACACTCAGCTACTCCCACATCAAACTAAGACCAAAAATCTGTAAAACTGTGTAAGTTATGGCCATTTTTGTGTGTGTTTGCTATGGTCAATTAGCTGGGCATCTTGAATTTGATATTAATCAATCGTTGATGCATATTTAATTGTTATTTTCTGAGAATGTCATTATAATTTGTCCAGTGGTTCATGATATATTTTGCTAACAGACAGACAAGGTTGTCTTTAACATTTTCTGAATTTTTTAGAGCAAAGATGATGCACAATGTGTAGTGATCTGATTGGGGACAATGCTCAGCTGGTACCACACCCAACTTTAGCTCAATATCTGTAAAATTGACTGAGTTGGAGCCTTTTTTGTGTTCAATGAGATTGATTAGCTGCGACAGACCTGTTGAATTGGACAAACTCTAAAAGTTATTCAGTTGTAGACAGCTATCCAGTGACTGCTTCTTGAGAATTTCATTAAGATYCGTCCAGTGGTTCATGAGTTATTTTGCTAACAGACGGACAAACACACAAAGGCAAAAACATGAGCAGGTTTTCTATCCTTAAAAGCCAGAGTGAATGAATGAGAAACGAATCAAATATTTGTTGTGGAGGTGGTTATTGTTTTGTCCCTCATGCCCCTTCCTGTGTGTTTGAGACACAGTGTGTAAGCCTGGGCAGTGTGGGTGTACTCCACGGAGGCTACCATCTTGTGATGAGTAATTTCCATCCACCTGGGATCTAAAACAGACTTTTGTGAGTGTATGTGTAAGTGTCAGGGAATAAAGTCCCTGCTGGGATGTTAGTGGGGTCATCAAAGGCTGTGACCCAGAAAATAACCTGCATGCACCTTTAATCGACCAGCACATCCTGAATAATCCCATCAGGGGATCAATAAACTCTATTTCTGCAACAAAGAGCTAAATCAAATCAAATTGTTAGAATTAACTCATTCAGTTCATTGTGTTTAGTTAATAGTCTCTTTGTTTTTGTTGAATTTCATGTTTGATCGACATTAAAGGGAAAAAATAGTGGTAAGTTAGGCGAGCCCTTTCTCTCCTCCTCCAAACTGCCTGTCTTCAGCTCCAGCAGGCAGCAGTGAGCGCATCACCGGAGATGCAAAAAGTGCGCAGGAGCCGAGCAGAGGAATCGACGAGAAAAGAAGGAACCTGAGCAGCCAGAAGAGCATCGGTTGGACCTTCGAACAATGAGGAAACCAGTCGATATTTAGCTGTCAGGAAAGGAGAAAAGAAACACAACGCAAAGAAAAAACAAGCGGAATCTCCACCAAGAACAGAGCTTCAGCTTGGTGATCCGTGTCGGCGCGCGCAGCCTCCCCCAGAAAAATGACGACACCAGGACAGTGATTTTTTTCCTCTTCATCCAGCTCCTTATTTTATTTTATATTATTTCATTTTTTTTAAACAATGTGCTGGGAGTTTATCTCCTGAGCACAAAAAGAAGGGACGACTCATCCCCGAACGCGGTCGCCAAGCCGAGCGCGCAGAGAGCTGCCATCACCTCCATCGCATAATTACGCAGAGATATTCCCGTTTCGCCGAGGTGCAGAGGGGGGGATTTTTCCAACGTCCCAGTGAGAACTTACTATGTGAGTACAGTTTTGAAAAGCTCCAGCCTTCACGGGCGATGAGCACTTTACGACGCAGCATCTGAGAAAACCTGTTAAAACTGCGACCGACCGGYGCGTTTGGATACCTCATCCGAGTGCCGCCTGATTTTTATTTTTATTTTTTCCCTCCCTCCCTCCCATATGGCTTCTATCTTCAACGTTTGTGGACAACTCCTACATTATTGATAGTTCATGGCTGTAAAGAGTAGCAGCAGCAGTGCGTGCCTAAAGAGGACAGAGCAAGTCTAAGCTGGGGGGGTGCGAAGACATTTCACTTTTATGTCCAAACAGGAGACATTGCGCACGGACACTGCAACGAGCACAACACGGAATCCTTTCGTCGCTCCCTCCGCTGCTGCCATCGTAGTATGTCTGCACTTCGAAAGAAATTTGGGGACGATTATCAGGTAGTGACCACCTCATCCAGCGGGTCTGGATTCAATCAGCCCCCCGCGGAGAAGAAGAAGAAGAGGCAGCGCTTCGTGGACAAGAACGGTCGATGCAACGTCCAGCATGGGAACCTGGGCGGCGAGACCAGCAGGTACCTCTCGGACTTGTTCACAACCCTGGTAGACTTGAAATGGCGCTGGAACCTGTTTATTTTCATCCTCACCTACACGGTGGCGTGGCTCTTCATGGCCTCCATGTGGTGGTTCATCGCCTACATCAGAGGGGACCTCAACAAAGCCCACAACGACAAGTACACTCCATGCGTGGCCAACGTCTACAACTTCCCCTCAGCCTTCCTGTTCTTCATAGAAACCGAGGCCACGATAGGATACGGCTACAGATACATCACGGACAAGTGCCCCGAGGGCATCATCCTCTTCCTGTTCCAGTCCATCCTCGGGTCGATCGTCGACGCGTTCCTGATCGGCTGCATGTTCATCAAGATGTCTCAGCCCAAGAAGAGGGCCGAGACGCTGATGTTCAGCGAGCACGCGGCGATCTCCATGCGTGATGGAAAACTCACGCTCATGTTCAGGGTCGGCAACTTGCGTAACAGCCATATGGTCTCTGCACAGATCCGCTGCAAACTGCTCAAAGTGAGTGAGGGGTGGTAGTTCTGGACCAGGGGGAAGGGGGGTGCATCTTCTGTGATCTGGTCCTCAGATCAGGGTTCATGTTTTTGTTGGAAGAAGCTGATGCAGAAAGGTTCACACTGACAAAATCTCATACGGGATGAGGTTTTAGACAAAGTTATATTCTTCTGTACTCCATTTCCCCCACCTAAATGAATTGGATGCAACTTATATAGAATATATATGTAAAATAATAAAAAAAATCATTTGGGTGAAATTTTAAATTTCCAAGCTTTATTATCGTTTTGAGAAAACAAACAGAAAATTGTTCAAATTTTAGATGGAGTTTTGTTATCATGATGCACGTTCTGCATGAAGACATTTAAATGCAGAAGCTTCAACGTGCTAACATTTTTAGAATCAGCTGTGCATTATGCCCCACAAAAATTAGCAAGTGTCAATGTCAACATTTTTTTCTACAGCATATCAGAAACATCTGAAGTTGGCCAAAGTACTTTACAAATAAAAAAAATCAAACAAAAACTCAAAATACGGCAATCAAAACCAAACAAAAATACTAAATATATTAAAAGAATAAATAAAAAATAAAGTCAAATACAGATATACAATTAAAAACAGCTATTTCAGTCTCAAAACCAATGATTTAAAAGACTCAGTTGTCACCATCACCTATTTGCTTTAGATCCTGGAGCATCTAAGAATTGGTAGATGATGTCATCAAATATGATGGAGCAAAACTATTTAAGATTTTCAAAACAAGAAGGAACATCTTAAAATCAATCCTAAGGACCAGAGTTTTGTTACCACGTAAAGCCTGGGCTGTTGTGTTGTGAACACTTTGTAAGCCATGCAGATGCTTTTCTCAAACTATCCAGATCATCCCAGAACTCCATGCAAGACGTAATAAAAACATTATTGCTTGATGGAGATTTGACTTCAACTTGCCTGTAAGTCGTAACTGGAAAACTTGACTGCATTCATCTGTTGTTCCAGTTTTCTTATAGCTTTCTCTTTAAAAACAGGTGATTTTCTGTCAGACTGTGGGACAAAGCTGACTCGAAAAATCTGCCTCTCTTCTCCCCCCCCCCACATATGTCTTCATCCTTGTTCCTCTTCCAGTCTCGCCAAACGCCAGAAGGCGAGTTCCTTCCGCTGGATCAGCTGGAGCTGGACGTGGGTTTCAGCACTGGGGCAGACCAGCTCTTTCTCGTCTCGCCGCTGACGATCTGCCATGTGATCGACACCAAAAGCCCCTTCTACGACCTCTCGCAGAGGTCCATGCAAACAGAGCAGTTTGAGATCGTGGTGATACTTGAAGGCATCGTCGAGACCACAGGTCAGTAACGTCTCTGAAGGGGGGAAAAGAAAAAGCTTGTTTGACCTGATGTTGCTCTGGGCTACATGTATCTATGAAGCGTGTGATGTGAGTTTTCTTTTTTGTAACATCGAGCTGTTTCATAGGATTTAATTGCTCACACTCAGCTGGACTCATTATTGAACTCTTGACTGCATTTTATTGATTTTCATTTCTGCGGCACACACGGATAAACACGCTGCAGCTGATATTAAGAGGCGGACAAATTTGATGCATTTTGAAGAGATAGTCTGATCCTTTTGGAAGTTCGTGTTCTGTCTGTGATAGTTAGTGCCTTATTAGCTGTCTCATCAGTCATGCAGTATGGAGTTGGGAGAAAGTGGCAAAAATCTTTATGCAGGCAAGATTATCGGCTACAGCAAAAAGAGTGTCAGCTTCTGTATCTTTTTTAGGCTTTTAAAACAACTCTCTCAAAAACACGCCCAGTATGAAAGAACATTTGACACTATATGTTGCTGTTTGTCAGAACATACAAGAACAAACTGAGCGTCTAGTTTTACCTTTAGCTAATGTAGCATTATTTCATGTAGTTTTTTTTTGGAAAAAAGTTGTTTTATAATCCTGCAGAATAATAAAAAGCTGGCCCTCGTTTGGCTAACCATTAGCCTAGCTTTTATGAAGACTGTTGCCTTTTTCCATCATTCTCTTTGCTCAGAGACTTATGCCAACTAACCAGTGGCGGAGTCAGACATTTTTCTCAGGGTGGCCAGACTGGGACCACTACTCACACAGGGGTGGCCAAGAAAATTACATAATTTTTTTACTAGAAAGTTTCTGCAGATCTTTGTGTTTTGGTCATTTCCTTATGTTCTAATACAGTGACTACCTTATAAACATGGGCATCAGAACTGTTTTAAAAGTGGGGGGACACAATGTTGGGGGGTCTGGGGGCCCTCCCCCAGAATTTTTTTTTTTTTACGAAATAGATGCCATTTCCTGCATTCTGGTGTATTTTACCATGTTGTTAAACATACTTTTACCTACATAAATTAACGCTTGATTTAATAATGATTTCAGAGACAGATTATTCATTAAAATAGTTCCATTATCCTGTTTTTAAACTCACTGCTACAGCTGAGATACGATTAATTTATGTGACACAATTTATCATATCTAATGACTTTAGGGGGTGCCTTTTAATTTTGTGTTTATTGATTTATATTTATTGGAACACATGTCAAATTGTGCCAAATAATGACGACCCTAAACTGCATGTTTAAACTAATATTAATAATTTTACTCAATGAACAGGTGCAATACTGTTAACCACCAACAGTAAATTTAGAGGGGTGTTACACCATTTCTGATGTAGTGATAGGTCTACTCATAACTATAAGGGACAGATCATCATGCAGCCTTCAGAACATAAAATTACACTGTATGGTGACAAAAAACAKTTGTCACCATTAGTCAGATTACAAAGGCATATGTTCTGTATATAAAAAAAACTATCACTTTCTTGTCGCTACTCTTCTTTAGTAATTGAGCTTGGTAATGTTTCAAACTGTTTCAAACACTGCCACCAACTGTTCAGGAGGATTATTACATCCCTAAACATTGTTTCACTGTGGAAGGGGTGTGTACAGCAGGGTGGACAAAGATTTGTCTGTGGTGGCCCTGGCCACCCCCTGGCTCCGCCCCTGCAACTAACTACTGATTATAATTATTTGACAGAACATGATATCAAAACTGACCAGACTATCCCTTTAACCCCTCAGATGTTTGTGGACGGACTTTTTGGCAGGTTTTCACCTGATAAATGAGTCTTGAACTCTTCCACGGTCAGTAAAAAGGCCATCGGAATTTCTGAAACCCACTCTGCTCCTCGCCTTTGTGCCTCAACACCTCTGGCTGCTGCTCTCAGAGGGCCGAATAATTTGCTTTTCTAGGGTCCCTTTGGAATTACGGAATTCCATTTCCACAAGATGAGCAATGCCCGGAGTAAAATACTCCAACGTGGTCATTTTAAATTCAATCGCTTATTTGACACGGCTGATAAAGCGGAGTGGAGAGCTCCTCGCGGTGTTACATTCGGAACAGAGCAGATCGGAGAAAAACAGCATATGGAGATGTGACAGGAAGGCGCGCAGGCTGCAGACGGTAATTAGTGAAGACGCTCACATCCTGATAGATGCTTCTGATGGAGATTTATTGCTGTTTGATTAAACTTTTATTGTAGCTGAGTATTAACTAACATGCAATGTGACCCTCCAGCACAGGGCATGCAGTATTTATGCAGGCTCGTTCTGCTGAGACCAGACATATTAAAAAAGTGGGAGAACATTATTAAATGATATCGTGTACGACGCCGTACAGCCTGGGAGCATCAGAATGGGCTCGACTCAGCGTTATTTCAGGTCATGATGAGAAAACATTTTGATCAATATGTTTTTTTTAATCACCTAACTAAGGTTTGGAGTCAACTCAGTTGAAGACAACGCAAAAATGGCTTTAATAGCCTATATGCCACGGACATCCTGTCCAGCACTTGGTGCCACTCCGATCACTTCCGGTTCACGGTAAACACAGTGTTAGCGTAAGATTTTTTCACCCATTGACTCTTAACGTTCTCCACAGTACAGAATTAGCATATTAGATGTACCAACATTAACACAGGAGACATACAGGTCCAGCCAAGTGGAAAAAAAAAATCACTCCAAAGTGATTAAAGTCATAAAAACAAAGGAAAGACATTTGTGTTTATGGTTCCAGAATTCAGTCTTTTTCACTATTCCTTGGCTGCTTGTTCGTGACTTTTTCACGTAGAGCTGTGACACTTATATTGTTGGAAAGAGCAGAGTCTGGGCTTTAAATTGATGGGCTACTTGTGTGGTTTGGATCGTTTTCCCCGACGTTGTGAATGGAAAATGCAATGATTATCAGATGGAGGTTCTGCAGCTCTCGGTGCTGGGGGTGGGGGGCTCGTCGCTGTTGTTTTGTTTACGCTGTAATATACACTCTAACAAGTTTTTAGTTTTGCATAAAACTCATGACAAAGTTGCCTAAAAACATTTCATGCTTTGTATAACACAAACGCGCGCACACACCTACCTTTGTACCGGCTGCTGTGTTAGCTTCCTCCTAGCTGTGAGGTGGTTTTTCCTCGCTCGTCTTGGCAGTAAAACGACGGCTTGTAACCTCCATCTTCTCATTTCTGATGCTGGCTGTTGAATATCCTCAGGTTAGAAATGCCGATTACAAACGCGAGCGTGAGCTTTTAAAGATAAGTTTTCCTTGTAATGCTATGATCCTCTGCTGTCACCCCCTCATCAAGAGGAAAATGGATAAAAACTAACTACTCGATCGTACCTGCTGGTTAGTGGACACAACGGCACACAACAGAACTCACGTTTTATACCAGTAGCTCACAGATGCTTTAACTTTTGTGACTTTTTCACGGACCAATACTGGGAGCTCACACTAAAGCAGGAAGTGGAAGGGAGGAGCGTGGCAAGAATTTTACCGGAAATACGTCATTAATGACTGTGGCATATAGGCTATTCAGTTTTATTATTAGTGCAGTGACATTTGGTGTGGTAGTACCTGASTCATTTACATCACCTACTCTGACATCTTCCAATATCCTTATCTATTAAATAAATCTGTGATCTTTTATTCCAAGGAATGCTTTAGCCCTTTAATTATTAGAGTACCTGTATGCTTGTTTTGTGTGTGTTCAGCTTATTATCACATCTTACCTGCTGCTTTGTGCTTGTGACTTTTAAGGCATGAAAATATTCAGTTAATGAATGTGATTTATTTTTAATTAGCAGGTATTTATAATACRTTGTCACAGAAGTGTGTGTGTGTCATTGTGTCATTCTCACCTTGTGTGCTTTTTTTAAGTTATCGCTGTCTCTCAGCAGCAGCAATTATGTGTCGTTTGTGGAAATGCTGATGTAGAAACAATCTATAGTTAAAAATGGATGTACAGTGAAAGTCTAAATCCTGAGTCGCTTTCATTTCTGGCCGATGTAACTCTGTTTCCATGGCAACCTCTCCTTGAGTATTCAGGATTGCAGCACTGCACTAAACTTAGGTTGTTCTTTATTACTATTATTATTATTTTTTTCTTATTCCTACGGTATAGGAATCATAACAGGATTTGAGTAATGAATCAGGCGAGCGCGCGACGCCGAACATGAAATGGAATGTCAGCAGCATCACCTGTTATTAAGACGGCTCGTCTCTGAAGAGCGAGACGCWCACAGAGGCGGTTCTGTACCATAAAGCGCCCGCCAGAACAGGTTTTTACAGACAGAGAATAAGATCAAATATTTATGAGGTTGCTCGGTGTTTACTAGCGAAAAAGAAAAGAGAGAAGCTGCCCAACTGTGTTATATGTGGGGGAAAAAAACCCTCCCTGTAACACAAGTTGAAATACTGAATTCTGCACAGCTTCACCGTCACCGGCGTGTTGCTCCTTCCTGCTGGATAGTAACAGACACAATTTTCTTTTCTTTTTTTATTTGGCACCCTTCTTCCTGAAGAAATCGCACACCAATATTTTGGACCGAAGTTTCTCTTTTCACACATACAGTAAAAGGAGGAGCTGCGAATCTTTCCTTTTTTTGCTGTGACCTCTCAGACTGAATGAAAGGCAGGAGCTGTTCGTCGTTCTTTTTGAACAGAAGAGCGAGGTGTTCACCGCCGTGACCCCAGTCCCCCGGTGAATAGCTGATAGCGCAATATTTTCATAGAAGGATGCTTTTTTTAAAAGGGCAGACAAGACGGGACCTCAGTTACGAGGTTTGATGAGTTAACAGGATGAACGGGGAAAATGTTTGACCCCCTAACAGGAAGTTCAGGAAGAAAATAAAACATGTTCGAATCAGAGTGTGTACTTCTGAAGTAGAGTTACACAACAACGGCCAGCCACAGCAAAGTGCATGCCAACGAGACGAGAGTTTATATTCTGCTGTCTGTTTCTCTTCATGTTTGCTGAAAGCTAATAATGAGTG